TCCTCACAACTCTCGTTTCTGAGTTGGCCGGGATTTGTCGTTTCGCCTGAGACATCCTCGAAAAGTTGCGCTCGGGGACGCCGCGCGAGAAGTGGTCCGGGCCGTTTCGCTTGAGACATCCTCGAAACTCTGAGCCCCGAGGTGCCGTGCGAGAGGTGGTCTGGGCCGTTTCGCCTGAGACATCCTCGAAACTCTGAGCTCTGCGATGCCTTGCGCGAGGTGGTCCGGCCCGTTTCGCCTGAGACATCCTCGAAACTCTGATTTCGGAGATGCCGCGCGAGAGGTGGTCCGGCCCGTTTCGCCTGAGACATCCTCGAACTTCTGAGCTCTGAGATGCCCTGCGCGAGGTGGTCCGGCCCGTCTCGCCTGAGACATCCTTGCAACTCTGAGCTCTGAGATGCCGTGCGCAAGGTGGTCCGGCCTGTTTCGCACAAGACATTCTCGCAGCTCTGAGCTCTCAGATGCTGCGCAAGAGGTGGTCCAGCCTGGGGGCCCAGAAGACCACATGTTACATATCCTCCATGGGACCCTGCGAGCCTCAGGAGGCCCCAGAGAGGTCCAGGAGGCCGCAGGACGCCCAGGACAGGCCCCAGGGGCCCCCAGGAGATTCCCAGGAGGCTCCCAGGAGGCCCCAGGAGGTCCTCTATCAGAACGTGTCAAGTTAATACACATCCGGTGTCGATTCGTTGATTCTTCCTGCTCTTGTGCCCCCCCTCCATTTTGAGGGGCCCAAGCGGCCACAGGTTAGATATCCCCCCTGGGAGCCCCAAGAGGCTTCAGGAAACCTCAGGTGGAGTTCAGGAGGCCACAGGAGGCCCAGGAGGAAGCTCCAGGAGGTCCCCAGGAGGCCCCAGGAGGCACCAGGAGGCCGCAGGACGCCCAGGACAGGCCCCAGGGGTCTCCAGGAGATTCCCAGGAGGCTCCCAGGAGGCCCCAGGAGGCCGCCTATCAGAACGTGTCAAGTTAATACACATCCGGTGTCGATTCGTTGATTCTTCCTGCTCTTGTGCCCCCCCCTCCATTTGGAGAGGCCCAAACGGCCACAGGTTAGATATCCCCCCTGGGAGCCCCAAGAGGCTTCAGGAAACCCCAGGTGGAGTTCAGGAGGCCACAGGATGCCCAGGAGGAAGCTCCAGGAGGTCCCCAGGAGGCCCCAGGAGGCACCAGGAGGCCCCCGCAACTCGGAGCTCTGAGAAGCCGCGCTCGAGGTGGTCCGGCCCGTTTCGCCTGAGACTTCCTCGCACCACGTTTCGCCCGAGACATCGTCGCAACTCTGGGGTCCGAGATGCCGCGCGCGAGGTGGTCCAGCCCGGTACGCTGGAGACATCGTCGCAACTCTGGGCTCCGAGATGCCGTTCGGGATGAAGAGGAGGAGGAGGAGGAGGAGGAGGAGGAGGAGGAGGAGGAGGAGGAGGAGGAGGAGGAGGAGGAGGAGATGGATGGGAGAAGGAGGAGGCGGATGATGTGCATGAGGGAGCAGGCAGGAGGAGGGGGAGGCCCCAGAGAGCTCCAGGAGGCCGCAGGACGCCCAGGACAGGCCCCAGGAGTCCCCAGGAGATTCCTAGGAGGCTCCCAGGAGGCCCCAGGAGGCCGCCTATCAGAACGTGTCAAGTTAATACACATCCGGTGTCGATTCGTTGATTCTTCCTGCTCTTGTGCCCCCCCTCCATTTGGAGAGGCCCAAACGGCCACAGGTTTGATATCCCCCCTGGGAGCCCCAAGAGGCTTCAGGAAACCCCAGGTGGAGTTCAGGAGGCCAGTGCCGACCCAACAGCTTACTCGTCGACCAGGTGCGACCTGGGACATCCTCGCAACTCTGGGCTCCGAGACAGGGTTCCCCAAACAGGATTTTCATATTCCTTTTAGCGACGTCTCAAAACGTGCCGGAGGAGGAGGAGGAGGAGGAGGAGGGAGCAGGCAGGAGGAGGAGGAGGAGGACGAGAAGGAGGAGGAGGAGGAGGAGGAGGAGGGATGAGGAATGGAGTTGCATGAGAGGGCTTAACGGGAAGCGAGAGGTAGAACGGCCCGTTTCGCTTGGGGCATCCTTCCAATACTGAGCTCCGAGATGCCGCACGCGAGGTGGTCCAGACCGTTTCTCCCGAGCCATCCTCACAATGCGAAGCTCCGAGATGCCGCCATGCGCGCCCTGCCTTCCGCCCTCCGCAGACATCCGACGTCACGATTTTTGTTTCGAGACGTGCGCCCGCGGACCTCTCGATCTCGTCCCCGGGACTGGTTCTTCGTCAGGGTTCTTCGAGATGCTGCGCACGAGATGGTGTGCCCCGTTCTGCCTGAAACCTCTCTCATTTCTCCCACCTCCCTCCTCTTGCCTCCCGCCTGCCTCCTCTTCCCTCCCTCCTCCTCACCCTCACGCCTCTCGCCTTTCGCTGCTGTGCCTCTGCCTCCGCCTCCCTGCCTGTCGCCGTCTCCGTCATTTTGCCGCCTCAGCATCCGCCATGCGCGCCTTGCCTCCCGCCATCCCCAGACATCCGACGTCCAGATGTTTGTTTCGAGACGTGCGTCCGCGGTCCTCTCGATCTTATCCCAGGGACTGCTTTTTCCCCAAACAGCTTGCTGAACGGGGTGCTGTTGTGATAGAAGCTAACTCCGGCCGAGGGAAGTCGGAGCAGAGACATCCTCACAAAAATTTGATGGTCCGGGCCGTTTCGCTTGAGACATCCTCACAACTCTCGTTTCTGAGTTGGCCGGGATTGGCCGTTTCGCCTGAGACATCCTCGAAAAGTTGCGCTCCGGGACGCCGCGCGAGAGGTGGTCCGGGCCGTTTCGCTTGAGACATCCTCGAAACTCTGAGCCCCGAGGTGCCGTGCGAGAGGTGGTCCGGGCCGTTTCGCCTGAGACATCCTCGAAACTCTGAGCTCTGAGATGCCTTGCGCGAGGTGGTCCAGCCCGTTTCGCCTGAGACATCCTCGAAACTCCAACCTCGGAGATGCCGCGCGAGAGGTGGTCCGGCCTGTTTCGCCTGAGACATCCTCGAACTTCTGAGCTCTGAGATTCCTCGAACTTCTGAGCTCTGAGATGCCTTGCGCGAGGTGGTCCGGCCCGTCTCGCCTGAGACATCCTCGCAACTCTGAGCTCTGAGATGCCGTGCGCAAGGTGGTCCGGCCTGTTTCGCACAAGACATTCTCACAACTCTGAGCTCCCAGATGCCGCGCAAGAGGTGGTCCAGCCTGGGGGCCCAGAAGACCACATGTTGCATATCCTCCCTGGGACCCTGGGAGCCCGCCTGAGACATTCTCGAACTCCTGATATCTGAGATGCCCTGCGCTGCGCGAGGTGGTCTGGCCCGTTTCGCACAAGACATTCTCGCAACTCTGAGCTCTGAGATGCCGTGCGCAAGGTGGTCCTGCCTATTTCGCACAAGACATTCTCGCAACTCTGAGCTCCCAGATGCCGCGCAAGAGGTGGTCCAGCCTGGGGGCCCAGACGACCACATGTTACATATCCTCCTTGTGACCCTGGGAGCCCCAGGAGGCACCAGAGAGCTCCAGGAGGCCGCAGGACGCTCAGGACAGGCCCCAGGGGTCCGCAGGAGATTCCCAGGAGGCTCCCAGGAGGCCCCCTATCAGAACGTGTCAAGTTAATCCACATCCGGTGTCGATTCGTTGATTTTTCCTGCTCTTGTGGCCCCCCTTTATTTTGAGGGGCCCAAGCGGGCACAGGTTAGATATCCCCCCTGGGAGCCCCAAGAGGCTTCAGGAAACCCCAGGTGGAGTTCAGGAGGCCACAGGAGGCCCAGGAGGAAGCCCCAGGAGGTCCCCAGGAGGCACCAGGAGGCCCACACAACTCGGAGCTCTGAGACGCCGCGCTCGAGGTGGTCTGGCCCGTTTCGCCTGAGACTTCCTCGCAGCACGTTTCGCCCGAGACACCGGCCCGTCTCGCCTGAGACATCCTTGCAACTCTGAGCTCTGAGATGCCGTGCGCAAGTTGGTCCAGCCCGTTTCGCACAAGACATTCTCGCAACTCTGAGCTCCCAGATGCCGCGCAAGAAGTGGTCCAGCCTTGGGGGCCCAGACGACCACATGTTACATATCCCCCTGGGACCCTGGGAGCGCGAGGAGGCCCCAGAGAGCTTCAGGAAGCCGCAGGACACCCAGGACAGGCACCAGGGGTCTCCAGGAGATTCCCAGGAGGCTCCCAGGAGGCCCCCTATCAGAACGTGCCAAGTTAATACACATCCGGTGTCGATTCGTTGATTTTTCCTGCTATTGTGCCCCCCCCCCAATTTTGTAGGGCCCCGACGGCCACATGTTGGATATCCCCCTCGGAGCCCCAAGAGGCTTCAGGAAGCCCCAGGTGGAGTTCACGAGGCCACAGGAGGCCCAGGGGGAAGCCCCAGGAGATCACCAGGAGGTTCCAGGAGGCCCACGCAACTCGGAGCTCTGAGACGCCGCGCTCGAGGTGGTCCGGCCCGTTTCGCCTGAGACTTCCTCGCAGCACGTTTCGCCAGAGACATCGTCGCAACTCTGGGGTCCGAGATGCCGCGCGCGAGGTGGTCCAGCCCGTTACGCTGGAGAAATCCTCGCAACTCTAGGCTCCGAGATGCCGTTCGGGATGAAGAGGAGGAGGAGGAGGAGGAGGAGGAGGAGGAGGAGGAGGAGGAGGCATGTGTTAACATGCCATGCCAGCCCGCACTGGACGTGCACGCAATCGACCTTGGAAACCGCTGTGGGTCTAAAAACCCTGTTCGGGGATACTGCACTCCGGCTATAATTTTGTCCTCTTGGGGATACCTTGCGGCCTTTCGGGGGCAGGTGGGCCTTGTAGGTGCAGGGCTGGCCTTGTGGTACATTGCAACCTTATTGGAGCGGTGCTCAGCCGCATTGGAGCTTCCTGGAGTCCGAACAAGGGGTTATGAAACAAGTATCGTCGTTCGGTTGAGTGTGATTGCGAAGAGGGATGGGGCTGCCCCTCGACAACTATAGAAGCCCCACATCGCAGCGTTCTAACACTCCACATCGTGAAGGCACGATGGCGGATAGAGGAGCCACAGTCGGGCGAGCAGCTCAGTGGATTTTTGCTGCTGGCCTGTCGAGTGCATGCTCGTAGTGGTTCTTATGATGCGGCGGTCAAGAGTTTCTTCAGAGCTATCAGGGGTGAAAACCTTGAGAGCGCCATGAAGGCATTGGCTCTGGCAATGCACGACCTGCAATATGTCGGAGCATATGAGCATGCGAAAGACGCGGTGGAAGCGATCGCCGGTCCTGGCGACGCCACTACCAAAGAGATGATGATCAGGATGTTGGATGACGCCGCTACGCCACGCCGAAGGCCCGACGAAATATCGTGGACAAGACAGGGTTTCATGTACCTTTACGGATGCGGCGTCGCTATCTTGGTCGTTTTCATTGGCCTCCTCTTGTACAACTTGGAGCAATGGAGTTTGAGCGCTCGGGCTGAACCTAGAAGAAAAATAGGTAGCCTGCTCTGTTAGCGATTTCACTGCGCACTTGACGCAATCCGACCTTGCACATCGTCGCTCGGAGCAGAGATGGGCGAATCGTGCCACCCATTTGGGAAGGGAGGAGCACGCCATGCCCACATTTCCATCCTATCGCAGGGCCGTCAGTGGGAGGAGACATTCTCAGGACTGATTGCAGATCTCTCTTCGCGCGGGCACGGAACCTGTGGCGAAGCACGCAAGCACCTCCGCCGTCAGCTCTGGAGCCCTTGACCGCATCTCATCATGCCCGCGCGCATCCTTGTCCTTGCCGAGCCGATTAACAAGGGCCTTGCGGCTCGACGTTGCCTCCGAGGGGAACGCTCTGAATAGCCGCCCATCCTGTTCTGTTTCATGACGCTGGAGGTCGAGACAGGACTAGATGCTCGCGCCGCCTGGGAGGAGAAGGGGAGCGGCGGCCGGTGTTTGTCTGCCCGGAACAACAGTGGAGAACGCCAAGCGCGTGAGCGTCCTATCGGTCGTTCTTTCCTCTTCCTCCCCGACGGGCTCCTCCTCACTCCCCCTGCGTTAAACCATAGTCCCCTCCCGCTCCACTCCTCATCGTCGTCTTTCTCCGAGTGCGTCCGGTTTGGCTCAAGCCTTGCCCTGCTGCGATTGATGTGTTACGGACTTCTTCCGTACTCATGTTCAGACTGCACCATGTTTGAGAGTGTTTTGGCTCTTCGCTTGATTTTCTGTGCCCTGCTGGTGTTTGTCATGTTTGTATGTATGATCTGCATGCGTCTTCCCACCACGCAGACGTTGACTGTTGTCGGGTCCAATTCGTCGCCTCCCGCTGGTGTGGATTCAGTCTGCGCGCCAGCTGCGCGGGTTGCACCGCGGTCGCCAGCCAGGCGGTCGCACACTTCTCGGATTTGATTCCTGGCATTGGCTTCTTGATGTCTACCCGAGATGCTGTCGACGGAGGCCGCAGGGATCTTCTCCGACGTCAGCGGCGCCATGAACATTGATATCTTCTTGTCGGTTGGCGCCCCTCGAGCGTTCTCATCATCGTCGACGGGCGTTTCTCCCTTGGCTGCAGCGCATAAGATAGCCGAAGATGGTTCGATGACACGTCTGCTAGCCTCCACCCTGCGCTTGTCATGCCAACGGGTCAGTTGAGTATGCCCCATTGCGCCGCTGGACCATGCCGTGATCGATAAGGTGCAGATGTTGATGAACGCGCAGAGCGCCTCGATTACCACGATCTGGCAGTACCACGCGCCTAACACGAACGGCTGCCGCATCGGGAGGACACTACGACCTAGCCTCGCAGAGGCAGACATCACAAGATGCGAGGAACCAGAAGGCGATCCCGATGCTCTGGCTAAAGATCCGAAGCGCAGCAACGCCAGGCAGGACCCACCCAAAAAGCCAAGCAGGGCCAAGCCCGACATTGCCAGCGTGCCCAGCCAGGACCCAGCCAGGCCAGCCTGGCCAGCTCTGCCGAACTATCTAGCCCAGCCATCCCAGCACACCAAGCACAGTCGATCCCATCCTAGCTAACCAACCTAGCCCAGCCAGACCAGCCTAGCTTGCCCCAAGTGCCGCATCCCACCCAGCCCAGCTCATGGTATCGCCTGGGCTCTCCTACTAATGTCTCCCAAGCGGTTCCTGGGGTTAATCACACCCCGAGTAACCTGGAGTCACGGTCTTTACGGATCCGCTTGGTGTTCGTTGTCTTTGTGTTCGTGCATTGCTTCGTTGACATAGTAGCTCTGCGCTCGAATCTAGTGTCTCATCTCTCTCCATGTAGTTCCCTTTTCCTGCTGTCTCTCTCTCTCTCTCTCTCCTTCTTTCTCTCGCTCTCCTCTCTCTATCCCTCTCTGTCTCTCGCTTTTTCTCCCTCGGTGTACGTACACTTTCCACGCAACATGTTTTCCAAGTGGCTTGTGCCATTCTGCAGACTACACCTGAAAGAAATTCGTGTCAATATCCTGGATTTCTCAGGCGCCTACTTAGGGAGGGCACAGCGGACGATATGGGGGGGGGCAGGGGGAATATCGATATGGTGCGGAGGATGAGGATGTCAGGCACGGTGATGGTGATGGGCGAGCGAGCGATCGGGTTCGATCGTAGCGGGAGGCGGCGGATCGGCGGCGGCGCTACACGGCTTAAGAGGCTTGACGGTTTTGCTCGTTAAGTTGCGTGACGAGTTCCAGTGGTAGCTCATGGGGTTTCCTGTTCTCCACACTGTGGTCGCAAGGCTTCACTGTGGGGTCGGGAGGACTCGATATCGAGATGTCGAGATGTCGAGGTATCGAGAGATCGAGTCCCCGCCCTCAGATGTCGAGATATCGAGACATTGAGATATCGAGTCCTGGCGAAAAAAGCACCCTTGTCCACCGGGACGCCTGGCCCCCACGCTGGTATTCCACCCGACGATGATTGTGATGACGATGTTTATGATGATGATGATGATGATGACGATGATGATGATGATGATGATGATGATGATGATGATGATGATGATGATGATTATGATGATGATGATGATGATGATGATGATGATGATGATGATGATGATGATGGTGATGATACTGATGATACGGATGATGCTGATGATGATGCTGATGATGACGAGGAGGAAGAGGAAGGGAGAGTATGCACCAGTAGGGCTGAGCCTCAAGTGGACAGACTGTTCTTCCGTGTTGAGTTTGGCATCCTTACGAGAAATTCGCTTGCGAATCTCCCAAACCAGACGTCCTTCGGGCCATGCGAGTGCTCGGTTGGGTTATGGGGCTGCCGTATTTGACCTTGAGCACATTTGAGCAAGTTGGAGCCCTCTTGGGCACTCTTGGAGCCGCTCTGGGTTTGCTTTCGGCCTGAGCCCTATTGGGCATTTCTTGTGGCCTTTTTTCTGTTGTTTTCTTTGCTTGTTCGAGGCCGTCTGGGCCCTTCTGCGGCTGTTTGGGGGCTTCCTGAAGGCCCGTCGGAGCATTCTCGGAGCGGCCTTTTTTGGGCCCCTTGGGGCCGTGTTAGATTCCTCTTAGGCTTTGTTGGGCTTCCTTGGTACCGTGTTGGCCGCCGGCGGGGCATGATCCTAAGGACTCCGCGGCGCTTGTTAAGTAGCCAACGCGAAAACGCCAAAAACATTAAGCAACACTGTGTTTCAATAGTGTTGGCCTCTCGGGGGGTTCCTTGGGAGACCCTGGGGCCGTCGTGCGGCATAGGCCCATCTTGTGGCAAAATGGGGCCGCATTGGAAGCCTTCGTGCCGTCTTTTGGACCATCTTGGGCGGTTTTGAAGACCATCTTGGGTTGTCCAAGGTCTCGTTGGATCTATCTTATGTAATTTCGTTGGCCTCTGCGGGGCATTGTGGATCACTGGGGGCCCTGGAGAGGGGGAGCGCGGGGAGGGGGCAGCACATTATTGCACACGCCTTGTCACCTTTGTCAAGCGGTGGCCAGCACATGCGCTATGTGGCTGGCACGCAGTATGTCAATCCGATCGAAACGCGAGTGTCCTCGACCAGAACTGGTAATATACTTTTCGCGCGTGGCGCACACCGCTCCGCTGTTGTTTTGCCATTCGCTTTTGTTCGAGGGTCGCGTGTCGCATAATCGGATTTTTCTCCGCGCTATAGGCAGTATACAATCATGCCTGATTTCGCTCATGAACTGGCCATTCAGCAGCAAGAGCGCCCACCGCCGTGCCAGGCCCCACGACGCCGCCTCAGGATGCGCAAGCCAAAGGCGAGCACAGCGCCATTGGCGGCTCAACGGCGTCATGGCGCATCCTTTCTGTAGTTGCTGGGGAGCGCAAGGATCCGAATGTCCCAGTGGCGGTTCTGGGCGACTCGTTAAACATCGGCCCCGGTGGCTGATGAATTTAAACAGGTCTCATGTGTACGGCCATGCTCTAGACACCCAGTCATCGCAAGGTCCCCCTCTAACGCGCGAGCACACAGTGTATCAATGAAATCTGTTCTCTGGGCGCTATTCTGATTATTGCGGCATGGTTCGCATGGGCGCCGCACTCCAGCAGGATTCCAAATCAGTCCTCAAACAGTTCAGCTGCCGCATAGTCCAGCGATCAGTTTTGTATTGTGCCTGGTCAGGTCACACCTGGAACGCGTAGTGAGAAACAACGGGATGAGCAAATTTCTTTGCTGTATGGAGGCCCTAGACAGGTTCCTCAGCGGCGACACCTACTAACATGAACGGTGATGGGCTTAGTGCAATTGCGCCGTAGCATACGTTAGAGGCAAATATACAGTGCAAGGCGCCTTGCACAAATTCAGAGCTCTCGCTACACGCGTCGCGTCGGCTCGAAACTTCCTAAGAGCCAGCGACAACGCTACTTGGCCATCCAAGCGTCGTTCTACGCATCAGATAACGAGACCAGCGTCAGATCAGCCAGATTGTCATTGACAGGTTCGCAAGGCTGTGCAACCTCTGGTATCTCATGCGTGCTGGCCAGGCAGGCTGTGAGTCCATTATGGGTAAGTCGCAGCTTTCTACAATCATAGTCCCACCGAGGTTATACAAACATGCAATTATGTTGCTTCGAGCGCTCCCCACCGAAAAAAGCCTTCTTTGCCTTTTTTTTCCCACGGTGCGCGCGCCTACTGGAACGATGCGCGCAGGGCCTTATTGTTTCGGCCAGCGCGGCGGCCGGGCCAGGACGCAAGTTGCCGTTGTCCCAATATCTAACAGCCCCAGGTTGTCGTGGGAGGAAAGCCTTTGACGAAAGAAACCCAAACAAGCCTTGGTGCGGAAAAACCAAGCCCCCAAACGCGTGATGTACGCGAGCCCCCAAAGCTTCCTTCTTCGGGGAGAAGCTGCAACATGTTGAAAGAGGAGAAGAACGAGGAGGAAGAGGATGATGAAGAGGAGGAAGAGGAGCAAGAGGAGGAGCAGGAGGAGGAGGAGGAAGGAAAGGAGGAAGAGGAAGGAAAGGGAGAGGAGGAGGGGCTGGAAGCGGGGTAGCTGGAAGAGGGGGAGGGGGAGGAGGAGGCTATATTCGAAAGAGCGTTTTCTGCCGCTTATGGCCGTTGAGGGGGGGGGGTCCGGGGAAGTTTGAGGGTGGTTCTGGACCCCACCCCCCGCCCACCCAGGAAAATAAGTAGGGGGATCCCGAACCCCCCCGTCGGGAAAATTAGTGGGGTGGGCTGGACCCCCCTTTCACTGGCGACCCGGCGACGACGACGACGACGACCACGAACACGACCACGAACACGAACACGAGCACGAACACGAACACGTCGACGACAACGACGACCACGCCAACGACGGCGACGACGACCACGACGACGACGCACGACGCACGACGCACGACGACGGCGACCCACGACGCACGACGCACGACGATGCCGAGGACGTCGACGATGATGACGACGGCCCCCCTGGCAACGACGACGACGATGACGATGACGATGACGACGACGATGACGACGACGACGACGACGACGACGACGACGACGACGACGACGACGACGACGACGGCCCCCTCCTGGCAACGACGACGGCGACGACGACGACGACGCACGACGCAGGATGCACGGCGCACGAAAACCGACGCACGACGACGACGCTGGCGCCAACGCCGACGCCGTTGCTGACCACGTCGTCGCCGATGCTGACGCCGACGCCGACGCCGACGCCGCCGCTGACGGCGACGACGACGACGACGACGATGACAACGACGACGTCGACGACGACGTCGACAACGACGACGACGTCGACGACGACGCACGACGCACGTCGCACGAAACACGACGCACGGCGACGCTGGCGCCGACGCCGTCGCCGACCCCGACGGCCCCATTCGACTATGAGGACGACAACGACGCCGACGCCAACGACGACAACGACGACACCGACGCACGACGCACGACGAACGCCGCACGACGCACGGCGCACGACGAAGACCCCGTCGCCCACGCCAACGCCGTTGCCGACGCCGACGCCGACGCCCTCTTCGACGACCACAACGACGCAGACGACGACGACGTCGCCAACGACGACGACGACGACACCGACGACGACAACTAGCAGAGCAGAGTAGGCGTAGAGTAGAGTATAAGAGGAGTAGAGTAGAGGGTAATGTAGAGTCGTATAGAGTAGGGTGGGGTACGGTAGGGTAGGGTAGTGTAGAGACGAGATATGGAGAGTAGATCAGGTTCGAATGGGAAGGGAGTCGAGTAGAGTAGAGTAGGCGGGTAGCCCAGAGGAGAAAGATACTAGAGCAGAGCAGAGCCGAGTAGAGTATAATAGGAGTATAGTAGAGAAGAGGAGAGGAGAGGGGAGCAAAGGAGAGTAGAGTAGAGTAGAGTAGGAACGAAGTATATTGGAGTAGAGTATGTCGGGGTACGGTAGGGTAGAGTAGGCTAGGGGAGAGTTGGACAGAGTAGAGTAGAGTAGAGTAGAGGACAGTGGAGTAGAGAAGGCGTATGTTAAAGTAGAGCAAGAGCAAAGCGGAGTAGAGTAGAGTATGTTAGAGTACGGTCGGGTAGAGTAAAGTAGGGCAGAGTAGAGTAGGACAACTAGCGTCGAG